TCAGTCTTTTCAGCATACTACTCTCAGCTTCATGGTGGGTCATTTTTGATCTTTCTCTGTGAGTTGTGTCGAAGCATAGCGCCTACCCCTGAACATGCCGATGGTCTTTGGGGTCTGCCTCATTGGTGCAATGCGTCCTCCGCGATTCTTCTATCCTCGACTCTCCTCATCCGACCTCCCTTGAAGGCCAGTGAGAGTGTTTTTCGCTCCTGGTGTGCTGGGGATTTTTGGGATTGGTTTCTGCCTTTCCTTCTGTGCATTGGCTACTAGAATCGGCGTTCTCTACAGCGGGAATGGTGGCTGTATGACATTGTTTTGCATCATAAAATTGACGACTGATTGCAAGTCTGCCAATTTGTTCGCCATTTCTTTTACTTCTTCGTCCCTTCGAAGGCATCTATCTTTCCACACTTGGAAGTCGTCTTTGTTATAATACCTGTTTTGTTTTGGTTTCTTTGGTACGCCGCCATCCTGGCCGACGTCTTTTTTGCTGTGATTTTGGTCACGAGTTTCTATGTTGCGGTTGTCTCATTCGACGCCAAGATCGATAGGTATGCCACTCCCAGCAGGAGTGTCGTCCCCAATCTTTTCCTTCTGTCCGTCACTGGCCATCTATTCTTCTTTCTTTCCCATAGACGGTGCCAAATTGTGTGGGTGATTTTCCAATCACACTGCCCAACTCAGTATTCAGCTGGAGAGCACTGGTAAAATAGATGACACCTGGCTGACCTACAACAGAAAGAGAAGATTCCGGCGGTGGTTCGTTCACCCGGGGGCACTCCGACGATCAAGTCAGTATATCTCTCACAAATAATCAATAGTGCTAAACTCATTGTTCAGAATATAAATTGCGCACCTTAGACCCATTGGGGGTGCCTTTCTTTTATAGTTAACTCAATCCTTGTCCCACTAGAAGCCTAGCTTCAATGGACTCTTGCTTAGTGCTTATCCTGGACTCTCCAATAGATAAAGATAAACTCCCTAAGAGCTTTTTCCTTATCCATGCTAAAGTCCTTCCTCATTCTAGGACTCTTGTCCCTTATCCGCTTATCCCGGATTCCGATATCTTCGGAGATAACATCGGCCTAGCCGAGATCACCTCGACGTCATAACCTGGACACGTGGCACATTGGCTAACACGTTGGCGTCACCTTGGCCACGTGTTAGGACTCAAAAAATATATCCCCACATAAAGTTTTGGGAAGAGGATAAGGAGAAGAGAAATGGGGGAAAGAAAAAGGAAGGGAAAAAGAGGGGTTGAAGGGTAGATGTAACTACCAACAGGTAGGGATGGATGAAAGTGAGTGGCATTAGTAGTGATAAAGGTGTAAATTTGATCTGGCGGGCCTGGGCTCGTAGGTTCCCGTCAAAATTCGGGCCGAACCAAGTCAACCCATGGGTCAGAAAAATTAGACACAAACCTAGGCACAAGCCTAAGGGGTATTCGGACCTTGGGCGAGTCGGCAGGTCTAGACTTGGGCTCAGACTTGAGACAGGCATGAACATTTTTTATATTTTTTCCACCAAAATTTATCATTTTCTACTAAAAATGACACAAGGCCTCTGGTGGACAAGGCGGACCGGGTCTCAGTACTGGCTTTGAGTGGGTATTAAGCAAGCCAATGGGCTAAGTTACGAGCTGGGTCGGGTTTCAAAATAATGGCCTAGGCCCAGGCTGAGGCTCAAACCCAAGTCCCCAGCCAGGCCGCGGGCCATTTTTACACCTCTAAGTGGTGGTAAACCAATAGAAATAGTGGGTAAGTAGTGAACCTTAAGGCTCCGTTTGTTTCGGGGTGTAATGGATGTGAGGAGATTAGGATAGAGATGAGGTTATTTAATGTTGTGTTTGTTTGTAAAGTTGGGAAATGGATTAGGATGGAGGAATGGATTAAGATGGAGGTTGGAAGGGGGATTGAGATGGAGGAGGTGGAGGTCGTATTAGAAAAATAGTGAGGAGATTAGAAATTTTTTTTTTGAACATTAATGTTTAATTTTGTATATATTTTTATTTCTTTTATTATTTTATATAAAAATAATTTAACAATTCCTACACTAACAACTATCATCAAAACAAACACAATTTTACTTAATCCCCTCACTATTATTTCTATCATTATGAATCCCTTCCATTCTATCTTTGAAAACAAACTCCTCTCTTCTCTCCCTCTTTCTCCTCTGTTTCCTCTCTTCTCTTTCTCCATTTCGAGCCGTTTCGAGCCTCTAAAAGTCGAGCTACGAGGCATTTTCCTTTTACTGAATCCCCTCACTATTAATTCCATCATTATGAATCCCTTCCATTCTACCTCTGAAAACAAACGGGACCTAAGTGTTATATGTAATGTGAACTAAAATCAGGAAATAAAATGTAATTTTTTTTATTCCTCTATAAATGGTGATTATTGTTTTATTTATTTTATAAAACCTAGACATTGACAACCAATTCAGATAATTTAGATTATAATTGGTTTTAATTTACTCACATCTAAACAGAAAGTGGTACTTTTAACAATTGTTAAAAGGGAAAAAAAAATTATTTTGTACAACAATAAACTTGAATTGAAACCCAATAAAATAGTGTATTATCTGGCTCGAATACTCTGATATAAAAAAAAAGAGTATATTATCTACCAAGTCGTTCTCAAACAAAAAGGTTTATGAAACTTGATGTGCATCTCTTACCTAGAGTGGTTGGACATCTATATATATTGAAACACATTCACATCTTAAATTCCAAGTGTAAGTGATTAATGCATACTTTTAGTGCTTATTATAATTAATTAATAAGCTATCTCTTACGTGAAAAAGACAGCAAGAAAAGTGGCAATGTTTATTCATTTTTATGGCAATCTGTAGATGTAATCTTATATTTGCCACACAACGTGGAAAAGTAAATAACTATGAAGGTATTTATCCAAAAAAAAAAGTAAATAACTATGAACGCTTTGATTCGATCATGAGATGAGAAAGAAAAGAAAAAAAACTCCCAGAATTCATATGTGAATCTTAATTTTCTGTCTCATCTATATCTTATTCTACGTGCAATTAGATTTACTTATAGATAATAGAAGCCACACACGTCTTTTTATTTTATTTGTTTTGTATTTAAAAGGATTTTTATTTTTTTTTTCATAAAGAGCAATTTGGATTTCTTACCAAATCACATGTGAGAATTAAAATGAGGTTTTCCCTTTCTCATTATTTTTCCTACTCTTCACTTTTAGCAGAGTCTAAAGACCTCGTTGGTAGACAACTTTTTTTGGTTTTTGACACAGATTGATTCTCATAGCTTAAAGCCAAATCGCAAAACTGGGCACAGAATCATCTCTCATCTACATCTTATTCTATGTGCAATTAGATTTACTTATAGATAATAGAAGCCACACACGTCTTTTTATTTTATTTGTTTTGTATTTAAAAGGATTTTTATTTTTTTTTTCATAAAGAGCAATTTGGATTTCTTACCAAATCACATGTGAGAATTAAAATGAGGTTTTCCCTTTCTCATTATTTTTCCTACTCTTCACTTTTAGCAGAGTCTAAAGACCTCGTTGGTAGACAACTTTTTTTGGTTTTTGACACAGATTGATTCTCATAGCTTAAAGCCAAATCGCAAAACTGGGCACAGAATCATCTATCCCTCTGTCCCAATGCCCTCTCCGCATTCAAATCTCTCTGTGTTTTTTTTTTTTTGGGGTCTCAATGTACTATCAACCGTATCACGCTAAGTTGGGAGGGTGATTTCTTAGATGATCATCCCCCAATCCCGGGAAAACTATAAAACCAATCCACAAAAGCCTCCAAGCCGATTGATGCTGTAGAAGACTCAGGGCAGAGGGGTTCTCTAGTTTCAATGGGTTTCTGATTCATAGTCTGAAAAACCAATAGGCATTTCTGACCAGTGACCAATCACTTGGCTTCCATTAAACATGCACAAAATGCTCAGATCAATGTAAGTTAACAATCCAAACCACTTGACCCAACAGGATGCTTCAATGCACCACCTTCAAAACGACGACAGTAGAAGATCCCATAAACTCAGAGGACTTTAAATGCTACCAGAATAAATCTTCACTCTTCTCTAGTCAAGGATAAACTAGCCTCAAGGCATAAACACATTCTCCAAGCCAAAACTGATATCCTTCTATGTTGACAAGGATTATCACTAATTTGTGTCAAGGAATTCAAGATCAGACCCAGATGTTTCCAGAAATATAGTGTATGGTGTCAGTGCAAGTATTCATAGTTTTACAGTATAACTGTCAAAATGAAGGTCGTCTTTCTTATTGGTAAATTATATTTTTGAATTTACATAACCACATCAAACACAATAAAAAATAAAATAAAATAAAAAAGATCAAGAATAACAAAGGAGAGACCAAGACTATCACAATTTATATTACTAACAACTTCAAAGATCAGTGCATTAACAAAATTACCCAGTAATTTTTCTCCTCATGTTGACACAAAACCTGTCCTCACTGAATTTTTTTTTAAACCCATCAAATCCATCATCAAAAACCTTCAAGCTTATTTTTGGGAAGTATTAGATTACATGAGGATTCTTAAAAAGATTAAAATAAACAAACCAAAAATAAATTCTATTAGTAAGACTGTCGTCAATGGCTAAGACTGGATAAAGATTGAAGAAAAGGCGATCCATTTTCTGTCTGTGCATAGGGAGGCAAACCCAACAAGATTTATTGATACAAAAGGTCAATTCATCCATGTCAAAATGGTGGGATGTATTGAGAAGTATGCACATGGGCAACTTTGTTATAAAAGTTTAGTCTACCTTTCTTAATTTCCATATTTCAAAGATTTTGCTAATGATTTTCATTTTTAATTTTGATTTCAATTACTAACAATGTGACAGGTCCACCAAAAGTGTAACTGAAATCAAAATAAATGCATTCGATATGAACTTACATATAAGGAGAAGCACAAATGAAGGAATGATTTTGTTAAATAACACCAGAAGTGTCACTTTTGTTCAACACATATCTGTAATCTACAAAAAGCATGTTGAATATGCAGCATATCAGCAAAGTACAACTCTCGGTTTGCTCCCAAATAAAGAGAGATAACAACCTAAGATGTGATGCAAAGGTGACAAACATTAAACATTTAAATATACATCTGAGTTCAAAATTATTACAGTGCCATGAACAAGCAAAAAGATTAAAACAAATAAAAAAAGAAAAGGCAAAAAAGAAGCCCATATGTATAAGAAAAAGCATAAACGAATCCTACCTTGGCTAACAACTTCTATCTTGTAGCCGTTTATCATGGCAGAAGGATATGAACATCATGACTGCATGACTTTGTTTTGTTTAACACACACGGGTGCCTTGAATGCCTGACACTTCCACATAGATGTTGTCTCAACTGGCATCATACCATCGCGAGGAGGCCTTACAGAAAACAAGGGCTTATTACTCGAAGTAGATTTCCCTTTGTTCTCTTCAGTGGATGGAGAGCTCTCATATTTCAACCCTTCCTTAGGGTTTGCTCGATCCCTAAAGGTGCAAATGCTTAATGGCAATTTTTTCTGCTTCATTCTTCCCCTCTTTCTACTAATACTACATGTCTCATCTGATGATTCAACCATCTTTTCTTTTGTGTGGCTTGTTTCTGCTCCCCCATTATCCATCTTTAACCTATCTGCTCTAACGAGTCTCAATGTGTTTTCATCTGCTCCAACAGGGTATCCCTCATGGACGGAACCTTCTGAACCAACCTCGCATGTTACCCCATTCCCATTGCTTGGGATTCCTTCCCACGCTATACCTCCATTTGAAACCCTAGTTTTTTCAGAAGTAGGCAAGCCCTTTTTCAGTCTTTTATATTTGTTACTCTTCAATTCAGAAGTTGAAGAGTTCTTTGAAATTCTTGGGGAGCTATTCATAGCTTGATGCAGCTTCCGGGCTAACTCTTCATCAGTCTTGCAATTCTCAGCACGTTTGTGCTTATTGTACAACATCTGAACAGGAAGATGCTTCTTCATCTTGTTCTTCTTCAAGTATCTTTCTTTGCTAGTTGCCTCCTCAGAAACAGTTTCAACCAATTGTAAAGCACTCTTGGCTGCAGCAACTGCTTTTGCTGCTATCTCAGCTTTCTCTTCAGCCACAGCTCTTGCAGCCTCTGCCACCCTAACTGCAGCTGCAGCAGCTGATCTCGAGGCCTCCACAATCTCCTCAGGTGAAAGATTAGGGTTTTTCAAATGAGATCTCATCAAATTGTTAAGACGGGAGTCAAATCCACTCAAACTACTAGAAGCCGAAGGATGGTGAGAATTGGCATCAAAATTCTGTTTCTTTAATCCGGCAAGAAGCCGCTTTCGAGGAGGCAAAAGGACATCAGAGTCCAAGTGATTAAGGTCACATAAATTAGCTTCCATTATTCTCTACATGTGTACAACAATCTCCTTTCCTTTCATGCTATACAAAAACAAGAACAAATTCAAAATTCACAGCTTTAGTAGTACGAAATTCATAACTGAACCCACCAACATCAAATCCAAATTCATCATAAATTTCAAAACCCATCTCTGATTTGGCGTCCTTCATCCAAAATCCAACAACAATTCAAACAAATCAAATTCAAAAGCGCTCTCGGAAATCAAATTCAAGACAGAAACAGAACACAAATCAAGCGCACTTATACAAAAGCAGCGAAAAATCTCTTCATTTCAACATCAAAAACAAAAGCAATTTGATAAGAACTGGTATAATCTACAAAGTTACGAGCACGATTCAAGGAAATTAATACGAATCTAGTTTAGTTCCGTGGTCTCATTAAAATTGAGACACAAAAAAAACGGCAGGAAGGCAATGAGGGAGATGAAATTACCTGATCTTGAAATCTCAGCTGTGTAACAGAGAAACAGAAAAACAGAGAGAGAGAGAGAGAGAGAGAGAGTTGAAATTAGGGTTTTCAGAGAGAGATGGGAGAGAGAGAATGGTCTGAAATTACATTTGGAGAGGAAAATAGAATAGAAGATCATACATAGGTATGCTTTATATGTTTATGTCAGAAAGAATTTTGATTGGTTCTGGTTCTAGAAAACCCACAACGCAAATCCCGTGAAATATGATAGAGGTGTTTGGGAAGTTAAAAATTAGTTTTTATTTTTTTTTGTTAAAATCTTTAACAACAATGGTAGAGATCACTAATTTTGGAACTCTAAAATGATCACTAATGACATGACACTCAATAAAAAAGAAAAAATACAATATCAAGGCCAAAACATCAAATCATTCATAGTGGGGCCTACTGCCACATCATTAGTGGTAGCACTAATTAGTACTCCCACTCATTTTCCAATCTTTAAAATAATAAAGTTTTTGTTTGGGATGTGACTTAGGATTGATTTAGCATAAATTAAATAATACAAAAATTAAAAAGTTATTATCTTATTTAAGTCACATCATCTTATTTAAATCACATCATCTCTCTAACACATCACATCAAACCCAACCTATATAAGGCAATAAGTCAAAAAGTATACTTTTTTAGAACATTCCAAATTAACCTTTAATTTTTTGATTTTTTTATTATTATTTTAATTTGAAGTTAAAAAGTTTCGTTTGTAATATTTTTTTGACTTTTATAAAAGAAAAAATAAAATAATTATAATTTAAATGTGATATTTTATCTTATTGACTTTTTAATTTATTTTATTTTATTTTTTTTGACTAAAATAGCCAAAAAAATTATACCAAACATAACCAAAATAAGTTAAAACAATTAATAAAAAAAATATTATATTAAATTCATAATTATTTTATTTTTTTTCTCATAAATATCACATCTATTTATAAACAAATTTAATTTTTTTTTAAACATAAATATTTTAGCTTATTAAAATAATTAAAATTTAAAATAATCAATTTCCCCTTCAATTTTTTTATAAACAGTTTGACCTCCTTTTTTCAATTCATTCACGTTTATGCCATCCTGTCCTGGTGATCTTGCTCTTGCTGTGCCAGTAAGTGATGACGTGTCATATTTATCAGCATTTTAATTAGAACATTTTCAGTGGGTATTTGTGATTTCATTTTTTATGACTTTTTTTTATTTTTTATTTTTTAATTTTTAAGTGTTGAAAAAGTTAAATTTTATGTATTTGGAAAGTTACTAATTTTTTCTTTTCTAGTGAAAAAATTAATGTCACATTTAATTTTTTTTCGTTTATGATAAATAATTTAGCATTTTTTGATAATTTTTAGCCGTTGAAAAAGTTAAATGTATTTGGAAAGTTACCAAATTTTTCTTTTCTAGTGAAAAATTAATATCACATTTAATTTTTTTTTGTATTTAGTATTTTTTGACTTTTTCTTTTATTTTTTTTAGCGAAGATCTATTTTTTTTAAGTTGTCTCCAAACTCCCCTTTAATTTTTAATTTTTAAATTTTAAATTTGTACTCAAACAGTCCTTATAATTGTAAAAATTATCATATAGGTTAAGAAGACTACGATTTTGTATCCGTTCAATGATGTATAGTGATTTTTCTACCATTTTCTTAGTCTTAGGCCCATGTAATCATTAAACCTCTAAGTCATTTGTTGGGTGCATTGTCCACGTATAATTCTTAGAAGACAAAATAATTACTTTCATAGTTGACTCTGTTACTATTCATCATACAAATCAAGGGCATTTTTTAAAACAAATACTTATACTTAAAAAAACAAAATAATTGATACAATTAAAACAATTGGAATAAAAATCTATATTATTATATTAAATGAATTACTGTAGCGTTGCCTTGTTGCTTTCTCTCTCCTAATGTTTTTTTAGGAAATGTAAACCGCATTTATAAAGAAGTAAACAAAGAGTTTAACAGACAAAAGACTAACAGACATAAGTAAAAGAGCATCGCTAGTGAGCAACAAAGAAAACAAGCACTGACGACACTGCTACCAAAATGAAGGAATGCCCACGACCTCAACCAGAAAATGCATCGAACTCCTGCAAGGAAACCAGAAATCACAAGATCGATAAAAGAACAAGAACAAAAACCAAATTATTGGATTAGAAGATGCCATAGCTAAGGAGATCGAAAAAGGCATGAGTTGTTGTAACTATTTTCTATGCGTGGCACTCTCTTTCGTTTTCTATGAACATGGGCATGGGCATGAGAATACAGGTATTTTGTAGATACCCGTTCTACAAGACGCTTAGAATAGTGTTTTGGTGCTAAAATTCGCTTAGAACCTCCTACACAAAAGGTCATAATTTTCTTTGAAACCGGTGTCAACACCTGAACTCTCTTTTGCTTTCTATGAGCTTGGACTTGAGAAGGGATGTATTGTGTAGATACCCATTTTGCAAGACTCTTTAGAGTAGTGTTTGGGCGCTAGGATTCGCTTAGAACCTCCTGTACGAAAGGTCATAATTTTCTTCGAAACCAGTGCCAATACTTGCTCTCCGTGATCGCTAATAACCTAGGAGTGTTGTAGTGGCATTACGTGTGAAAGCTAGAACTCACACAAACACAAAAGAAAATAGTTTGTTGAGTGATTCGATATATTATTCCTTGACTGAAGTAGCCTTTAAATACACATAACAACTTAGCAGAAAGTTAGGTGGGTAAATAAACTACTAGCTGAGTTATCCTAAACAATAAAAACAAATAACCTATCTTTATAGAATCGGACAACTAAGACTTATTCAATGTAAACCAAAACAGAACATGATCAAATCCTAACACCGTCCCTTAAATTGAATGTCTTGGGGACATCAATTTATTGAGAAACTTCAGCAGCCCAATGTCAACTCGCATCTTGTCTTGAACATATTCCAATCAAACTTCGTAGTTTCAGAAACACGGCAGACTTGAGAGGTTTGGTCAAGATGTCTACAATCAGATCCTCACTCTTATAGAACACCAACTATACAACACCATCTTTGCAAAGATCATGTAAGAAGTGATACCTTACATCAATATGCTTGATGATTCCATGTAAAACTAGATTTTTTGATAGTTTCATGGCAGAAACTGTAATAATCCCGACCTCCGATTAATGCTAATCCATGATTAGTTATGCCTAACAGTAATTTAGAAGGAACCCGGAATTAATTTACATATGTATTACATTATCTTTGCGTTTCTATCTGTTTGCCATAAAATGATCTGTTCATGTTTAGACTTTGAACTGCGAATTGAAAGCCTTATCAGTGCTCGATTTCGAAATTGATTAGTGTTTCATACTAATTAGAATATATGTGATTTTATGGTAGATTTAATTAAAATTTGATTTAGTGTAATTAAATTAGATTAAATAACGTTAAATTACATTAATTAAGTTTATTACTAAATTGCCATTGAGTGGCCCACTACCTAAGGCAACCTTGAGATTGATTCATACATTCGTTGCATCTTTTCATCCTCCCTTGAGAGACCAAACCGTGGGAGAGAGTAGGAGATAGGGAAAAATTTAGTTTCAACAAGATTTTGCTTGGAATTGTAGAAGAATTGCATAATTGAGCCTCCATACTTGGAATTGAAGACCCAAAGTAGGAAAATCATCTTCTTGATTGTGCATTTAAGTTATACCTTGCATAGTCCATGGTAAAATTGAAGATTAAAGTCAAGAATTGGTTTCAATGTTGAATTGAGTAGTAATTCATGCATGCATGTTCATATTTTAACATTTTGAAGTGTTTTCATGGAAGTTGTTGCATGCAAGCCCATATTCTAGCCTTAGTTCATGAATTCATCATGATTTTGAGCTCAATCTTACATTTGGTCATGTTTCAGAGCATTAGATTTAAAATGAACCCTTACATGTTAAGCTCTTGTTTTGTTCTTGAAGTTTTATTTGAAATTGTGTTTAATTGACTCACCTTTGGGCCTTGATTTTACAAATTGATCTTTGAAACATCTTATACTATGAGTTTACAAATGTTTTCCAAAAAATGGGCCCAAGAGGTTGAGTTTCGAGATGTTTAATGCTTGGTTTGAGCTTGGGAGGCAAATCTGGAAATTCCAGAATTTGGCTTCCTCGCTCGAGCGAAGGATTCCACGCTCAAGTGACCATCGTTTGTTCAGAGCTTCGCTCGAGCGTAAATTGTAAGCTCTCACGCTCGAGCGAGCATCGAGCGGGTATCGAGCGTAAAATTTCAATAACTAGTACTTTTGCATTTTTACAGACCGCTCGAGCGAAGGAGTCTACGCTCGAGCGACCCCTCTGTTTTGACAAGCTCGCTCGAGCGAAGAAAGCCACGCTCGAGCGAGACCCCTGTTTTCAGCAAGTTTTGAAAAATGTTTTCCAAGACATCTTTGCATCCCCATTCCATCCTAGGCATCCCTAGGCCATGTTTAAGACCCCATAATGAGGATAGGAGATTAGAAACACACTATGAGCCAACGAAATAGGTTTTGTACAATTAGAACGTGTGTTTCAAGTGTGCATCTATTATGTGTTGTGTAGGTTACGTGCCTCGTACCGTTTGACCAAGTTTACTCCGTCTGTCTGTCTCAAGGCCCACTGTGAGTAATGACACTGTAAAGTTATGTTTAACTTAAGTATTTTCTGACTGGTATGGTATGATCTGTTTTTTGAAATGCTATTTTATGAATTATGAATGAATGCCCAATTTTCTAAAAAGTATTTGTGGCACCCTTAGTTCACGTGGCCCTCGCCCGGGAGTAACAATACCGCGGCCAATCTGCACGTAGCCCTTGCCCGGGGATAACAATACCGCGGCCAATCTGTATGTGGCCCTTGCCTAGGAGTAACAATACCATGGCTACTTGCGCGCAAGATATGGACCTTTATAGTCGTTGGTACCAACTATGCATGTGGGTCTCTGGACCAAATTGATCTGATAACTAATGGGTGTACCACATATGGTCTTATGCAAAATCTGAGTATGAACATGAGTGTGTATCTAAATCTATTTCTGTTTTGAAGTCTGAATATGTTCTAATTTAAATACTGGATCATAACTTGTGCTGGACATCATTCATAAAACCCCTTTACTCTGTTATTATTCACTGGGCTTTCGCTCACAGTTTATATTATGTATGTAGGTGAGCCGACATATGACCAGGGCTAGAGTTGACGG